ACCCCTCCTCCCCCCTGTGCCTCCCTCTTGAAACAGACTCTATGGACTGCATGCATGACATTCCAGCTGTGTGGGTGGCACAGCCTTTTACAGCGTCTCCCCAACAGTACACAGGGCTCCTAAAGCACAACAGCAGAGGAACCTCCACCCATGATCCATCTTCAGATTATCTTCCTCACTTAGGAGCTCGGCCGTGCTTTCCGTTATCTGTGGTTTTTAACCGGGAAAATTTCATGAGATATGTTGATGTGCTGTTAGCTAAAGGCTCAGAAGTCCAGTCAACAACATTTCTTTCTTTCTTTGCCTTTAACCCTGGAGACCCCAGACCATCTTTAACAGCTCTACAAACATTCATTGTTGTACTAGCTGGATAATTCATGACTTTTCCAAACTATATGAGAATATGAGTGTTGAACTAATGAAATGTCTGCAGAAAATGCAACATTCCTTTACAAACAACAGCCGTACAGCATTTATAAAAATACAACATATTTTCATATGCTCAGTATCTGTGATTGGTGTTGATACTACTTTATAAGCAGCACTGCCCCCTTGAAAAGTTATTGGATTTTTATAACAGTTTGTTCATATAAGGTCTACCAGGGAGTTACAAACCTTGGTAACATCACCATGTAAGATAACATACTGTAGATTTCTTTGTCTGTGAATGAGCTTCTGTAAAACAAAAACAATATATATTTATTAATTCACAGCCCAAATTTTATGTGAAACATGAAATATTTCCTTGTTTACGCTTATAGCAACACTTTATGGCCATTTCTCAAATGTGCAGGCCCAGTTTGTGGCAAACGAGTTTTCACTTCAATACTTTTCTACATATTGTTTTTTAATGAGCAGAAAAAGGCAAATGTGTGTGTTTCCACAAAATAAATGAAGAAAAAATAGTTTAAAAAAAGAATTAGTTTATCTTTAATCAGCAAAATAGAAAAACAGCTGCACATAATAGCTTCTGACTTCACACTTGTTAATGTGTGTTAAGTGTGTCAAGTCAATTTTGACACCCTCTATCCTTAAACCTTCACTTTGGATAAGGAACCCCCCCCCCCCCCCCCCCCAAAACCATTTGATTTCATAAGTAACAGTGATCATTTCATTAATACTCCATCCAACATATTACTCCACCAACGGAGTTGTAGGGGAAGAGCCAAACTCCACTTCCTCACACGTTCACACCACAATATCCTCCATTAAATCAATTAGTCATGATCTCAGAGGATTATTACAGAAGTTTGTTGAAGCTCCAAATGTGCTGGTGGGAGACATTGATTCTTAATCGCCACGATAATCAACAAAACCTCATCCATAACTCACAGCTGTGTGATATGTGTACATCGAGTTTGTTTTTCCACTTGCACTGGGAGAGTGCATGAGCAGAGTCCAAAGGATGAAAAAACTCAACCCCATTAACTGAACTTCAGAGGAATTCCTCACTTTACATACGGAATGCACTTTAGGTCAAAGGGCAAAGGGCCAGAGGGGAAGCCACCCGCGCCCAGGCAGGCCTTATTTAAACAAGCCTGGAATTCCTGGTTGGAAGATAGTAGAAGAAGAAGAAGAAGAGGAAGGAACCTCTCTGCCTTTTACATGAGCAGGGGCCACTGCCAATAAATAGCAGGGCTTTTTAAATTACCTGCACTGGCTGACTACATGTGCTACTGACTCTGATATATATTATGAGCTTTCCTCGGTTATATATTCACCAGTAAGACTGGGAATAGACGTCTGCTGCTGTGATAAGAGATAAAACCACTGTAAGTGTTTAATGTCTTGCGCAGGTATGGGATTCTGGAAGTGCAGTCATACCCTTCAAAATACACTTTTCCTCTTTTCCCCTTTATGTAGCCTTAAGGTTGAAAAAGTCTTCTTCTTCCACTCTTTCTGACCATATGTATTCTATAATGGCTTGCTGCAGCTCTTTGATGACTGCCTGTGTGATGAAATTGAAATATTTGAATAATTTTACACACATTTGATCCATATTTCAGCCATTTGTGGCACATTTAGAAACTTTGGGATCTACACTAGACTTAAAAAAAGCTTTTGGTTTGAAATGACAGACCCACCAGTTAAAGGAACTACTGTTCTGTTTATGTACAGTTGTAATTACTCAATATTAGAAAAATATTCTCTCAATTTATGCCACCGACTTGAAAATCAAAAGAAAAAGAAGTGGAACAAACACTGATTGCTGCAGAAGTCTCTGGCTAATTAACTTATCACCTGCCTATCTGTAAATTCAGGATCAATAGGACAGGACCCTATGAGCCCCTCTAAACATAAAACCCTGCATTCCAAACATGGCCCAACCTCTCCATTTTTAGGACCATCTCGCCAAATATTTCTTACAAATGACATGCTACAATCCCCATGGCCGTGGTGGAATTCTGTCCACTTCAGGGCTTCAAAGCTGCACAGGACTCGTCGGCCCGTCTGGCCAATAGGTGAAGGGGGGTGGCCCCTGCCTGCCTGCCTTGACCTCACCGACCTTCCCCAACCCCCCCCCCCCAGCCATCACCCACCCAGTGTCCAGCTACTCATTCATCCCCCCACTGTCCACTTCACCCGTCCATCCAGTGAAGCAGCCAGTCAGTACAGGTCCGCCTGTTTGAATGCCTTCTGGAGTGTCTGTTAAAACAAACAAATAAAGACAACAAGATACTGAAATTTAGAGTCAAAAGTTCCTTCGAGTGTGAAGACACAGATTGTACCTCAGTTGAACTTCACGAGTGGGAAACAAACATCAACAATAAGATCTGTTAAACTGGCTGTTCATTGGAGGTGAAATGGATGTGCTCACTGAAAAACAGCCATTCCTTTTGCTTTTCTTCATTAACAACTGATACATAGGCATTTATCCTACATTTGTCATTTCTTATTACACTGATTGCCCACAGACCTGTTATCACTGAGCAGATAAAGAGGATCTGACAGAAAAAAGGCCTCCTATCCACTACAGACACAAGTACAGCACAAGCTCAGAGGGAAGAACTTAGCATTTCTGCTGCAGCCTTTCTATAAACTCTTGACTCAGCGTCTTTGGTCTGTCATTGAGGCAGCCATTTTCCCATGAAAGGCTCACGAGATCTCTCCCCTGCAGGAACCAATTACCTTACTTTGATGAGAGCATGCCTTTAATTTTCAGTTAACTGCCTAATCAAGGAATGATTTCTTTCTTTTACTCTTATGATTATGCCACTTCTTGTGTCATACAGAGCTTGCTGTGAAAATATGAACTTTGTACTGTTGTGGTTTTGTCTGCATGTTGGTACATTTAGCTGTAAAGACACTGCAATGCTGCTCAAAGATGGTTATTCTGAGGAAAAAAACGAGCTTATAATGTTGGTTGATCACAATATATATGATAAACATACTGAGCATTGTGTTTGAGTACAGGAAGCACGTCAGGCCTTTCTCTGTTTTCAGATATTGGTACTGTGTCGCCATCTACTGGAGAAAGTGATACCTTCAACTAAAGCAGGAATATGCTGATGCTGTCCAGCTTCTACAAGTTCACGTTGATGTGATGACTCTCATATTTTATTGAAAAAGTGGAATATAGATTCAAAACAGTTTTTCGGCTATATTTTTGTAAGGAATAATGAACTTTTTTTCATTTCAGCAGGAAAATCAAATGACAAATGCAACTCAAGACCCTGAAATTACATTCTGTACATTATGTGCAGTTTACACATCATTTGTCTTTGGCACAATTGTTAATAATAAGATGTAACAATGACAGAAAATGTCCCTTTCACACAATTTCAAAAGAGCCTTATACATATATATATTCATTCCACCCCCCCAAAAATCTAATCTAGCTTACATTCTGTCAGCACAGCAAAATGACAGTTAATTAAAACTTCTTGGAGCCACAAAAGATGCTGATGAGTTCTTGTGTTGGACTGGTTAATATCTTTTGAGGAAGGTTTTCATGCCAGTTTATTATAATAGTACCAAAAATGCCAGTATTGTGTTGTTTTGTGGTTGGATATGTAGAACATGACATCTGTAGTTTAACTCTGGCTTTACAGATAGTGTTGGAAATGCTCACATCATGACGTCGTAGTCTTCTTCCCGACTGCAGCTGGCGTCATAAACAATTGGCCCCAGAGCCCCACTGAAACTGAGTATATATATATCTGACTTAGTGTGTTACTTTAATGCACATCTTTTGGACTACTATCTTGCACATCTTTATCCTTCATACTGTGAACTTTTGCACATTCCTGCACAAAACTGTACGGCTCTTTATAGTACATATTTTTTCATTTAATTGTCTATTTTATATTTAGGCTTCTTGCTTTTCTATCTCTATATTTATTTTCTCTTACTATGTTTATTGTTACGCGTTAAAATACTAGGACAAATTCCTTGTATGTACCTACTTGGCAATAAACTTGATTCTGATTCAGAAGTGTGTGGCTTTAACTTCACAAATCCATAAAGCAAGTCATATTTTAATAGAAATACTGAGAACTGTGTTATACGGTTACTGTTGTTTTCTTTTTGTGTGTGTGAAATATTAGGCTTCGGGCCTCAAACAGTTATTGAGTAATTGAACCATCTGAGTTTAGAGGGGAAATGTCTTTTGTGGAGTCCCTAACAACTCAAGACATCTGAAACACAAGAAACGGCATGAACTAGACTCTGCATTTTTGTGTGAGGTCACACTGCAAAAAGGTTGGGAATCACTGGTTTAATCTTTAACAATAAAGTGTAATTTATTAACTTATGTGTCTTTATGTAACAATATGACATTTGCAGTCGTTTCTTTTTCTGGATTTTAAGTAAAACCGAAAGCTTGAAACTGCAAAAAATGCCTATGTACTATCTTGGAGTAACAAACAGTATTAAAGGGAATTCAAAAAAGTTCTCATTTTCTGCAGCATTATATTGATAAATGTTACTCAACAGCTACAAATCAATCTTTAACAAACAGGCGACCCAAACAACAACAACAAAAAAAACAACACATGGCGTTACAGTTAGAGTCATGTTTATTTACAGCAGAATCCTGAATAAGGGAAAGAAGGGGAAAGGGCAGAGGGAGGGGTTAAAAGGAGACAAAGTGTTTTAGATCAAGCTTCAGGATTCATGTTTCACTACACAGTTCTTAATTTATTTATTTCACCATTTTTCTATACAGAATCCATTCAGCCGTAATATCAATACACCAGCAGAACTGGAGTCCTCTGCTGGAGGGGAGAAGAGGTGGAAAGAAGGAATAATATAAAAAAAAAACTAAAGCACTAAAGGGGGGTGGGGGGTGGGGTGGGGAGAAACAAGAGGGTAAAAAGAAATCCATTTTTCTATAAAAACAAAAGTAACATTTTTAATTGTTTTCACCATGATCGTCATCAATTATTTATGTATGTATATACACACATATATGTATATATATGTATATAAATCTATATATTTTCTTGCCATGTCCACGAACAGGTGAAGGGGGTTTCTGATTCCATCACGTCCAAGTTTAGACGACTGCACTGAGCGGTAGGTCGGACATCCCAAGCTCGCAGCGTTTCGGTCAAAATATCAGTCAGAGGAGATCAGAGCTGATCAATTGCAGTCTTTCTGACCTGCAGCCTTTGTCCCTCCCACTGACGCTGCTCTAGGCGAGCTCATAGGTCCAGTGCCTCGGTGTCGGCCGGCAGAGACTCAAAACTGCAGTAGCCCTGTTTACGCAGTCCGAGAAATAATACACTGTACAGTTAACATGCACGGCCAGATAGCATAAAAAAAGTTTTAAAAAAACAAACAAAAAGCCAGCAAACTGCGTCGTCAGTACATCTCTCCAACTCACTCACACTTTTTCCAGTATACATTAGATATTAACGACAAGCACCACAAAAAAAGTGGAAGGACAAAAAGAGAGAGAGAGAGAGAGAGAGAGAAAAAAAATAGACTCTCAGGGACCAAATGGTGACAGCAAAAACATCCTATGGGTTAGCTTTAATTCCTAAATATCCATTTCAATTTGTGAAGGGCATAACTGATTTTCTCCTCTCCCTAGGTCCAAACAGACTTCATGATGTTATTTTTGTAAGACACACACACACACGCACACTTAACCATTCACTCAGAGAAACTTCATCTATAGCTACGTATGAATCTAACCACAGTACGTCTTCATATCCCACTGACCCTCATCTCCAGGCTTTGAGTCCAAACTTTCACAATAGTCAGGTCTTCATCGACTGTGGTGAAACACTGACGTTCACATTTACAAAGTTCAGATGAGATGTGCTGATCCACTGACTTTTGGTCAGAACATATAAAAACTGATCTCACTTCATTATGCTCAGACATTTACAGACTTGTGAAAGCTGAAATAAGACGTTTTAAGAGTTTCTATAAATATGAGTAAATTTAGGATGTGCACAAGGGGAAATTCAGTACAGAACCCAGCAGGATGTATGATGTGGTTTCATGATGAAAAGTAACATTGCATACCTTAAAATTAATTCAACATTCATTTATTTGACAAAAACACTGTATACATTTCCACCTGTCTGCAGGGAGACTGAAAAAGAAAAATCGACCCCCTGTTGGGTTTTCTATCAATTTTGTTTTACAAGTTAGACACAAACTGTTTCTATTACACGTGTCATGTGTTTATGAAAGTTTGATCCAACACGCCCAGCTCTATGGAAACCTGACTATTGTCACTGTTTTAAACATATTCATGATTTCAAATTAAAACCAAGTAAAACAACCGTTCACGCAACTGTTTCGCTTCGCGCACCCCCCCTTCACACACACACACACACAACACACACACACACACAAGAGCAGGAAACTAACCTTTTTCTCAACCAGCCACAGATGCAGATGTTTTGTATTTGTCCCCCCTCCCACCCCTACCAAGACAATTCATCAGTTAAGTTTCTATTACACAAGCCAACAAACTTTAGAAAACAATCTCTAAACAAGTGATGCTGACCAGTTGTCTAAACACAACTGAAATTTACCAAAATTTGGCTGCTGGCGTCAGTTTCCCACCCTATTCAACATGCTCCCGAACACAAATACAAACTTAAGATACCGCAAATGCACATATATACAAATAGAAGCAGCCCCTCAAACGCTGGGGGCAGCTTAACAATTTATAATGCATCATTTCTGTATATGCCAAGAATAAAACTTTTCTAAATAAAATACATAGTTATCTGTGAGGGCAGGGAATGGGGACAGCAGATGATCAGAGAGGAGGGCGGGAGCGCAGGGAAGACGCTACTGTGGTGGGGTGATGGGACAAATGAAGAAAGCAGGGGAGAAAGAGGGAGACGGATGGAGGGGGAAGACTCTTCTCCTTTATTGTGTCGCTGCTCCCGAGCACTGTCCTGTGCCACTGCAACACCCCGCCTCTTCTCAGTTTGTTTAAATCGGCCCATAATAATATTAATAATAATAATAATAATGACCACGACAATGCTAAAAAAATATATATAAACCCCAGACATGTCTCGCAACCCTAAGTCCACAAAAAGGGGGGAGGCCTGGCCCTCGAGTTCATCCGAGTGGGTGACAGAGATGCAGAGAAAATTAAAAGACGCAGATAAAAATACGGAAATGCAGAGAGGCCTGACAAATGGAATGGGAAGTGGCAAGTGAGACCAACTATAAAAGACGGGAAAGGGGAAAAAAAGAGAGGGGGAGGGGGCCAGAAAAAACAGCATAGGCAGGATGTGCTATAATGAAGAGGAAATAAACAGAAAAAGAGGAAGCGGAGATGAAACGGGCAGGACGTAGGGACCAAGGATGAGTCGTGTTGGGGCGTTGTGATCCACACACTGGTGTCCTTTTGAGGGTTTTCACAGAAGATTGGCGGAAAGCATGAACAAGTGATGACAACATGGCCTCACTGTGAGTGCGCCCTCTCTCCTTCCCTCTAATTAAGGTAAAGGATCCGCAGTCCTCCCCGCGCTGGTCGTTTATCCCAGAGTGCATCATACCTCCAGGAAGCGAGAGCTGCTGGTCTTGGTATGGAAGGGCTCGGACCACATACGCCGCAAATCCCCCTGTGGAGCCAGAAACAAGAGTCATGAGTCTTGAAACAAAGCTTTCCTGATACATGCTCATCAGGTCAGCCGAGAAAATATTTGTCCCACTTTTTGTTGAAGAAAAAAAAAAAAACACTGTACCATTTAATCTACTGTGCACAGATTCTTTTATTGTACTTTAAACTTTGTAGCTTTCTAAAATTCCCATAATGATTCTTCAGACAGTAAGTCACTGACAACTGGCTGTCTAGTGGCTATAATGCCTGATCTAAAAATAAAGGAAAAAGAAAAATAAGGCTAACTGTGACATCATGAAAGTAATGAAACACATTATTAAGTATGAGCCACTTTTTTTGCTGCAAGCGTACCGTTAATCTGTCTGACAAATCATCTGTTGTGTTTTTAATTTCACAGTGATGATTAAAACCATTTTGGTACAGGAAACATGTAAAAGGAATGTGTGCTAGAATGTATGTGTGAATTACATTATTAAATCAGTAACAATAAGATATGCTGCAGTGTTGAAAACTATGTGTAAAAACAGAAAAAAAAAGAAAAACAAAAAGACTGCAGCTGAAATATTTATTCCGCTCTCCTTTTTAGTAAAGAACAGTAAAGATGTTCTTGAACTTTCCTTCTTACAAGGGTTCAACATTCTGCAAAACTGCTACAGCTAAACTTTTATCTCTTGCAACTGTTGCCGTCCCATCCATGTACCTTCAGGTAGGCCATAGTGAGCAGAGGCAGCAGGGTGAAGGGCACCAAGTAGAGCAGAGCGGGCTGAGCAGCACGATGGATCCTGGAGGCCACAGTGGCAGTAAGCAGACCTGAAGACACAGTCACATCATCATCAATCACATAATAAAAAGCATGCTCAAAAACCTGAAAAAATAAATAAATAAAATAATGGCGCGCATGCAACTAAAAGTATCACCTCCAAACATGTAACGCTGACACATTAAAACGCTTGACCTTTTACATCCATCCGTCCATCGATTGCTTGCTTGCTTGCTTACCCACAAAGTATCCGATGAGAGTGCAGTGGAAATAGGAGACGCGCTGCATGCGTCCGGACATGTTACCAGGTCCTGGGACTTCCCCATTTGCTTGCTTCTTGTAGTTGTCATAGCGCAGAACGAAGCATAACAGCAGCCCCGGCATCACAATGTCACCTATTCCCAGCATAGAGAAGTGACTTCCTGTGGAGCTGCACGGATGGAAAGAAGTAGAAATACGTTTGGAATGACAAAATACAGAAACACTGGAAACATGGACCAGTAGTTGTATTTTCATAACTTGTTTCTCTACGCAACTTTTAAGTCCTTACCAAGGTTATTATAATTTTGGATTTTTCATTAGTTTTTATTTTTATTTCATTTTGACTTTTTGTCTTCAATTTCAGTTTAGTTTTTAACGTGGGTTTGCTAGTTTAGTTTATATTCGCTCAGTTCACTTTAGTTCAGTCCAGTTTAAAATACAAGCACAGAAAAGAAAGAAATATTTGTGAAAAAGGACACTCTTTTTTAAGCTATCTGAAGCTTAAGGGGCGCAAACACTAAGGAGATAGATATATATATATATATATATATATATATATATATATATATATATATATATATATATATATATATATGAAGTACTGACACACATTGTCAAAATAAATAATACCATTAAATAGGTGAATTACAATAAATGGAGGTGAAATTCAATTGATGGACAGCTAAGAAATTCAAAGATAGTAGGGCCCTCCTTGGAGTCACAAACAGGTCCCTAGCACCCTAAAGGCAAGTATGACTGGAAAGCAGTTATATTAAAATCTAAACCTTGATTAATCAAAAAATAGGTATAAAAACATTGTGAAGCACCAAGAGACAGTTTGGCTGATATATCAATGACCCCATAAAACACACACTAGCTGACATGCAGTAAATATAATGACCAGCAGACACGTTAACCCAGCGCAAGGTGAGCTCACAATCAATGTAGGCTACTAGGGGCAAGTTCATCACAAACACAGGATGAGCTCCAAGCCAGACCACCAGAACAGAACCAAACAAGGAAAAGAAGACAGTAGGGGTGGGGGAAAAACATCGATCCAGCATAGTACCGTGATATTTGCCATGGCAATACTGTATCGATACACGGACGCCAAGTATCGATATTTTATTATATAAATTGCAGATTGGAGTTTTAACTTTTTGGTACTAGAATAATAAAATCTATTGCTTTTTTAGTCCACTAGAAAACTTAACAGGACCAAATAAGAGGTCTGAAAAAGTGATATGAACAAACAGAGGAATATATCTTTTTAGATAAACAGATGTTGACAAAATTTGACTTTAGGGACCTAATTGGAAGTTGGAAAAATGTAATAAATTTGTGATATATCTCCATGTATGGGCCTCTGGTGATTCCCACTCCTACAAGACAGTGACTCACTAATTTACCTGCAACCCACTAAACAAAACACAACTGTATACAGTTGTTGCATTCATATTATTTTGTACACATGTTACGTTATGTATAAAAGATAATAGAAAAATGTTCAAATCGCACCAACTACCAGCCCATCCCTACCTTGGTCTCCTGGCTAAGTTAGCCTCCCCCTTACGTTGCATGGGGCTCTCCTCGTAACAGTGTTTGCCACCTACTAAGCTGCGGCCAGATGGCCGGGCTCTCTTAATGGACATGCAGCGTCCCAGCTCTTCACATGGAGAACAAAAGCAACAAAAGCTCACCAACAGGTGCCTATCGGCTAATCACCGCGCGCACCGCTGTACTCATCTGCCGGTTTAGCCCAAAGGTCCGGCCCGACTAATTACCCCGCTCAGGCTCAGCCCAGCATTAAGGCGCCATTATACTCTTTGGAAACCACCTCCTCCCACACCTTTCCAAAGATGGAATTAGGGCTGCTGTGTACGACCATTTCTGTGACAGTCGACACTTCATTCTGCGATTGGTCAGCTGTGTGGAGCTGAGAAAGTAAGCTGGATTTGAACTTCTCTCTATAGCTCTTTTTTCATTTGTTACACAACTATTCGAGGGAGCAACACTATGAATGTCCTCCTGGAGAGACTGCTTTAAAGTGTGGGCTGCTGTACTCATATTTCAACAATATGGACGTCTCCCTCCTCTCTATGATGACCAGCTTTTCACTCCATCCTCGAGTATGACTGTTCACAACAACTATAAAACACTTACAAACTAGCTGTGATCAAGCATAACCCGACTCTTAGAGGAACTTACAGGGAACAAGTGGAAATTGTGACCCGTTTCTGGCACTAGATGAAAAGTCATAGGATCACCAAAGTCATTTCATCCTCTGCTGGCCATGACTGAATTAGATCAGTCTGGTCCAGAGAGTCTCACTGATAGACCAACCAGCACTAGAATTTCAAGAGCCACGTCAATAGCATAGCTAACAAATACATTTCAGACACCTTAACAGACACAGTGATGGAGCTCCAACACGCAGCAGAAGCTGGTCAATAGCAGGCGGTTACGTCAGTCTTACCTGGGAAAGACCAGTTTGCCAGGTAAGGAGAGACGGGGGACGTCGCGGCCCATCCCCGGCCCCAGGTGGAGCTTCCTGGACAGAACGTCTATGGGATTTTCAGCAGGCTGGGTGGCAACTTTGACCATCACATTACTATTGAAGATGTAGGCTGAGAAGAACACCTGGACAGAAATAGGAAGAATTTAGCATGTTGACAAATTCTCCTCCCACTTTACCAGAGCCCCCTGATGATTTATTTTCCTTCTTTTTCCTAAATCTATTACTAGTATTGAAATTAATATGAAGATAATCACCATTTTTGAAAAGCTGTAGCCAGTTTGGTATTTGAGTAACTCAATTAATTGTCTATTGATAGTTTCAACTCCAGGTTATAAATCTCCAAATGTTCTGCTGCTGCAATTTGCGGTTATATTGCCTGTACACCTAATTTATATCCAAGTAGACTCAATCACTGCTTCAAACAATTTCTCAAAGCAGGCACAGAGCAGAGATTAATTTATCCTATTCATCTAATGTTTGTCTGTTATGACATTATTGTGAACATTAACGGTCAGCGTCAGTGGGGAAATAACACTGAAGGCGGCGTTGCTAGGCGCCCAATAACGATAAGGATGAGAGCAATTGAAAGAAACCTTGCTCACTGGTAGAACATCGGCAGAAGCAGTTTGTTTGTGCGGTGCCAGTTATGACTGGTTCTGTTTGAATTTGCGTGCAGCAACAATGCTATTGTTTTAAATATTATGTGTGACATTTCCTTGTGAAACACTTCGTAGTTCAATGACATCGTTAGTCTTTTCTAAGGAATGAAAGCAACGGTTTGAACAAACTCATTATGTGAATGAAGCAGCCAGGTGCTCATAGATCTCCCTGAGCTCTACTACCCTCAGATTGAGATCTAAAAGGATTATTATGTTCAGTGGTTTAATTAAATAATGGAAAATACACACTGCAGTTCAGCAAACAACTAAAATAAAATCACAACTTCCCACCTCTTGTCACTCACTAACCCACTGATATATCATATTAAAATCTACATTCATGAGATATTGCTTGCCCCTGACTTTGGAGTTAAGTGGCTACAGCAGGAGCTGATCCAAAATGGGAACAATGCCAGATATTGCTATTAAACCACACCTAAATCCATTAGTGCCAGAAAAAAAGACAACTAGACATAAATGATTTAAATTTCTCTGAAACAATACTGATGTTCATCCTACTTTTGGCACGGGGAGATAACTGCTGTCCTTTCTAGCATGCCCGCCTTCCTCTTCGCAATTCATCTGGTTCATTTTATGTTTATGAAGGTTGAATTTTGAAGGTAGCTCTCAGCATCAATGCAAACTACTCAGTTTCTTTCAAACACACTACTGCTGGAAAATGCAGCACTTCCTAGGCAGCACAGTGATCCAGCTGGCAAGAAAGCATTTGCTCGTGCATGTTTAGAAAACAAATGCAAGGGCTTTCATAAGCTCAATCATCACTATTTTGTATAAATTTGGATGCAGGGATAATATTTGTGGACATTTTTTTAAATGAGTGTCCTTTTCCAGAGAGCTGTTTGCTACATCTCATAGCAGTGACATATACGCCAGCTGTGATGGGGGGACAGGAGCATATCTTACCCAGAACACATCATAAATGAGCAATCCTGACAGCAGCAGGCAAGACACCTTCAGACTGGGAAGCCGTACGAAGGCGATCATGGCAACACACAAGCCCATGGCTAAAGCTGTGAGGAAGAAAAAAACAAAATAATTAAAAACAGTTCCATGGAAATGAGCTGAAATAGCAACCTGGGAACAGATTTTAGAGAGTTTATTTAAGAAACATTAATTACTGTGCACACAGGCCTAATTTAATTAGTCAGACTTTACTGATGAAATGTCTCTGCTCATGTCCTAATTCACTTTCTGCATTTATTCTAACCAGGTGTAATGGTGATAGGAGCCCACAGGGGCAGTGAAACATTATTTCACTAGTTCTACTGCAGGGACACGCAGTAAGACTGTCAAGCTTGTGTCAAAATCCTTTACCATTTTTGTCTATTTTATAATTAGATTTTGATTCTTGAGATTATTTTCCAATTCAAACTGTTTTATCTGTGCAAGTGCTTTTATTTGGGATAATTAAGTGTTGCTATTTGGGATGCATTGTTCACTTTGTGAAGTAAACTGGGTCAAATACAAGTTATTTGCATTTGTATTTTAATTTGTAACTTTGGCAATATTGGTGTTTTACATTCATGCAAATCAAGCTGAATTGAATTAAAAGAAGTGCACCACCCACACACATTTCTCTGCTCTTTTGTTTCACAAATATACCAACTTTGATCAACCAGTTTGTTTAAATGCCAGTCGTTTTATAAAGTGCTTGACTAAAGTGAGTGTATTCTTCCAGCATTAGCATGCAGCACTACAGTAACAGCCTGGAAATACTGTTACTAAAAAGTCATATTGTATGAGTCATGTAAAGTTCTTTCTTCCCCAGGAGATGATGAAAACTTAATTTTGTTTGACTTTATTTGTTTCAAATTTGCTTTATTGGCCTGAATGCATAACAATATTGCTAGAGCTATAAATAAATTACACAAGAACAATTAATTTCATACATTTCATTAAATAAGTAAATTATTAGACAATTCATTGTTTAATAATTGGCTACTTCGATATCTAAGACCATTATGTGCTGATATTTATACACTGCTCATTATTGCTTATTGCGTCTAGTGTCATTAATGTGAACCACAAGCTACCCGGCTCTTCAAACAAATGTTAGTGATCTTCGGATCATTAAATCAAGAATGGAAAACCTGCTGCAGACACATGACAGAAAGACGCACCGTCCATGAGAAGCCAGTGTCCAGTCAGCACCCAGATGAGCACCAACATAACAGAGAGGGAGAAGGACAGGAGCTCGGCCAGAGTGAAACGCCCACAGCAGCCAAAAGAAATCCTGCAATGAGACAAATAAAGAGACACTTTTATAATCTCTAAATCACAAAGCACTATTCAGAAGACGACGTGATACATACAGGCAAACATTTACAGGATGAAATATTTTACCACTAAGCAATATTTGCATACTTAACGATGCGCAAAGAACAATTAGGATGAGGGAGCACTGATCTTTATGGGTGAGGGAGCAGAGTGAGGGAGAGCCTGTGACCGGAATAAAACGCTTGTCTCGCTCATAACTCATAAAAGTAATTCACCCATGTGTTTGAATAGTTTATCGATCGTTGTTAGCTTGCTAATGCTAGCTAAACTGTTATTGTTGTAACTAAAGAGCTAAAGTGCAGAAGCCACTCTTCTTCTGGAGGTTTTGTTTGGTTACCAAACAGCTTCATACTACCACCTCCTTCTGGATGGGAGTAGAGCCGACATTGATGCGACTGCAATCAGATTTGTGATCTGGCCAAACGGAGACACGTGTACGTCAAAACAAAAGTGTCTTCAATCTTACCTAGATTTAATCTGAACAAGACAGACCTGATATGACAAAGGACCTGACATGTACATGATAATTATGCAGGCTGTGCAGCCTTTATTTGTGACCGTGTTAATATGCACAAAATAACAACCTAAACACTGAGCAAAAAACGGGTTTTGTGTTGGGAGAGTGACTCTGTAAAGCAGCCAAAGGTTTACTGAAACCAGAGAGGTGGTGTTCTTATTCGTTATTGAGTAGGTGGGTTGTGGTGTTGGTGATTCCTTTACTATCTAGCTTGAGAGTGGAACAGCTGAGCCCAGAGGCTATTACAAATGATTTGTATGCGGTAAGTGAAAAGATACAAGCCTTAGATCACCCAAATAACAAAAAATAAATTCCCACTTTCTCCCAGTGGTATCAAGCCTTGCAGACAATCTCAGTTTTTATTGAGAAGAAGCTGATTTATGCGGAATCACAGAGCTTTATAAATATTTGTAAAAAGACATACAATACAGCATGGAGCAGTTTGAGCAACAGCAGACACTGTTTAAGAGACAAAGAATCCACATGGTTTCCTTACTTGTTCTGTGGGGAGCAGGGTCTGGTCAGATACTGGCACATTGGCAACAAGAGGAATGCAAATGCAATTGTTGCAAGAACTGAGGAGGAGAACAAAGCACAGCAGTGAGATCAAAGGACTAATACACTTTGACTGCTGGTTCCAGTTCAATGGGGCAGCTAAAGATCTTCAGTTTCAATAATCAGCGCAGATAAGAGGCCTTCCCCAGTGTGTGTAACTACTGAACAGAAATGCGAAAGCCCTATGACAGTAATTCTACGGCTGTTGTGTTTGTGATAAATTCAAGACCGGCGGTTACCTGCAGTACAGATGGTGAAGACCACCTGTACAGAGTCAAAGAAGAAGAACATGACTAGCAGAGACACAGAGGCTCCTATGGGCAGGAACAGGGCCTGTGTGGAGTCTATAGTCTGAATACCTGCAAAACAATACAGACATCAAAGTGAGAAGGATTTCAAAACACACACAAAAAATGAAGTGATTACTTTTAAATCCAAAACAATATTTTGGCTGTATATTTCAGGCTTGCCATGTCTGTAACACGCACTGTTGTTTGTGTTGCTGTTATTGAAAGCCCCTGTTGTCGTGGGGTTACCATCTTTATCCTTCTCCTGGTTTTCGCAGTCCATGTTTAATGATCTGCAGGAAGGAGGGAGAGAAAGAAAAAGGAGGAGAGGGCAGAGAGCAGGAGAGTGAGTTGGACATCAATAATCAGAACCTCAAAAGCGTCTAAACTCTTGATGAGGTGAAGGGCTGCGCAGGAGACTTAAAAACAGCCTTTTTCTACAGTAAATGTTTTAGAGACTTAATGTCTCCATTGATGGAAGATGACTAAATTATTTCTTTGGAGAAGTTTAAAAAACATCTTCCCATCATTGTTGGTTCAATGGGAAAAATTTGGGTGAAATGTTGAAGTGACAGCTATACGTTGCTGAGCAAAAGATCTGTGAACTCCAGTTGAACTAAGGCTCTACACCAAAACCTAAAAAAAAAAAAAAAAAAAAAAAAAGTGTCTCACATCAATCCCTAAAAAATAAAATACACACACACACACACACACACACACACGGGATATATGGATGCTTCGATCACCATCATCAACACTGACAAAGAAACAACTCCTAGCTCAGTGTTCTAACATCTGCAAACGGCAACTGCTATCATAACTAGAGATTGACGAAGTACAACAAATATGCTACGGCAAGGGGGACCCAGGAAGACAGGTCAGCGGGGAGATGTTATCATCCTCCCCACACTCAGAGATTGGGTCCCAAGCCCCAATAACAACAAGCCCTTAAGGTACAGAATCACTCAACATAAGGGCGACTGACCTACGATTGAAGATCATAACTAAGCTGGACCCCCCAAGTACAACAACCAAGATTGCCAAGGGTAAGTGACAAAGTACCCTCTGAAAGTCTGCTAGAAGATGTGAATGCAGCACTACATACTATACTTACTAAAGCCATAACCGAGACCAATGAACTGATGTATGCCGCAGCAACAGTGATCCTAGAGATGCTTGGCTACAAGATGAACACCACAAGCCACAAAGAGCATTACCCCCCATGGAGGAGAAGGCTAGAGGCCAAGATCAAGGCAACACGAAGAGAGGTTAGTCAGCGGTCAGAGCTACAGAAAGGTGCAAGGAAAGGACTACCTTAGAACTACAACAAGCTGTCCATACCTGAGGCTTTGGAGACTGCCAAACAAAGATTTACCGCTCTGGCTACCTGCCTAAAGAGATGCAAGGGAGAAGCAGAAGCCAGGAGAATAAACCGGATGTTCTCCACCGAACCATCCAAAGTGTACTCTTAGTGGCAGGGTAATAACACAATATCAGATCCACCCAGGGCTAAGACGGAACAGTACTGGAACATATGGGAGAAAGAGGCATCCCACAACACCAATTCTCAGTGGCTTGTGGATCTAAGAACAGATCACAGCAATCTCCCAGAACAAGATCCAGTAACCAACGGCAGACATCCAAGAAAGAGTGGCAGGTACGAAGAGCTGGACAGCAGACAGAAAACCTATGACTCAATGCCACATACATGGATACTGGAATGCTTGGAAATGTACTCAGCCAGATCATCACGAAGACTGGCTACAGATACTGGTTCCAAAGTGGAACAACCATCAGTCACCTCTTCTACATGGATGACATCAAGCTGTATGCCAGAAATGAGCGAGACATCGACTCACTGATCCACACTACCAGGATCTACAGCAACGACACTGGAATGTCGTTCGGACTGGACAAGTGTGGTCGCATTGTATCAAAAAGAGGGAAGATGATCATAACCGAGGGGGTTGAACTACCAGAAGGCCACATTGCAGATGTTCAGGACAGCTACAAATACCTTGGGGTGCCGCAGGCTAACGGAAACCATGAGGAGGCAGCAAGGAAGTCTGCCACAGCAAAATACCTACAGAGAGTAAGGCAGGTCCTGAAAAGTCAGCTGAATGGGAAGAACAAGATGCGAGCCATCAACACATATGCCCTGCCAGTCATCAGATGCCCCGCTGGTATAATAAACTGGCCAAAGGAGGAGATAGAGGCCACTGACATCGAGACAAGAAAGCTCCTCACAATGCATGGAGGGTTTCACCCCAAATCCAGCACGCTGAGACTGTACACCAAATGTAGTGAGGGAGGCCGAGGGCTATTGAGTGTCAAGACCACTGTCCAGGATGAAACGACAAAGATCCAGGAGTACATCAGGAAGATGGCCCCCATAGATGAAGGGCTTAGTGAATATCTCAGGCAGCAGAAACCCGAGGGTGAGGACAAGGAAGACGAAGAACCTTCATGGAGAGACAAGTCACTGCATGGCATCTACCACAGACAAATAGCTGATTATCAAGAAATCCTACCAGTGGCTGGAAAAGGCTGGACTAAAGGATAGCACAGAAGCACTAATTATGGCTGCACAAGAACAGGCACTCAGTATAAGATCAATAGAAGCTGGGGTCTACCACACCTGGCAGGACCCCAGCTGCAGACTGTGCAAGGATGCCCCTGAGACAATACAGCACATAACAGCAGGGTGTAAGATGCAGGCAGGAAGTGCATACATGGAACGCCATAACCAGGTAGCTGGCATAGTGTACAGGAACATCTGCCATGAGTATGGGCTGGAAGTCCCAAGGTCAAAATGGAAGACACCTCCTATGGCAGTTGAGAATGACCGAGCTAAGATCCTGTGGGACTTCAAGATCCAGACTGACAAACTGGTGATGCCTAACCAACCAGACATCGTGTTGATCGACAAACAGCAGAAGAAGGCTGCAGTGATAGATGTGGCAATCCCAAGCGACAGCAACATCAAGAAGAAGGAACACGAGAAGCTTGAGAAATACCAAGGGCTGAAAGAGGAGCTAGAAAAGATGTGGAAAGTAAGAGCAACAGTGGTGCCAGTGTTAATCGGAGCACTGGGGGCTGTGACCCCCAAACTGGGAGAGTGGCTACAGCAGATTCCAGGTAAAAAAAAATCAGAGGTCTCTGTCCAGAAGAGTGCAGTCCTAGGAACAGCTAAGATACTGCGCAGAGCCGAAGACAATGTTTACTGTCCCTCCTTCCAAAAGTGTTAAATCGTTTATTAAATACATCCTGCCGGCCGTTAGAGAGAACGCAGCTTTAAGTTCCATCTGCATGGTTTGACTTTCGACCCAGAGGTCGCAGCATGATTGAGATTAGAGAAATAGCATTTGACAACCTCTTGTCACATAACTACAACTCTGGATTGGACATCAGTGCGCGGCAAGAGCTGCAAAACAACTGCAGGATGTTGAATTTCATTTTTTTCTTTTTTTAAATACTAATGTTTTTGCACTGGCCCGACTTTCAGCGTTGGCCGATGGCTGTGCCGTTCACACAACTTGCCGTCATATGATGGGAGTCTTGAAGTTGTTCTGGTGTTCACACTACATGACTGATCGGTGACAGGGACACACACACACACTACAGGAGCTGACAGCGGCTGTGTCACCCGACGCTGGTCTACAAACCACGTTTTGTCAAGAAAACACATGTGAAATGTGAAACGGGAAATGAGTGATCCTGATGGCAATTATAAAGACAAAGAATCTGGGTGAATGGATGGAATAGCACACACAGGTAGCAGGGATTGTCTGAGCTACAGAGAGAGGGAGGGGAGTTAAAAGGTGCAGCTACCTGACACCCAGTTAACTCATGACTGTGAGGTTACAACTCACGGCCCAACAAGGAGAACAACAAATGCACGTGTGTACAATAACAGCTGAGGTCTGCTGCTTACTTTGGCTAGCCTTCAACTCAACAATCAATCATTATTTCAGTTAAATGCTGAAGTTGCTGTTACTGTTACCTTGTCTGTGGTCTGCTGGCAGAACACCGGCTGCTTTTTGTTCAGGTGGCGTCGTGCTGTTGCCGAGGCGACATAGGTTTCGTTTTACGGTGGACAGATGGTAACATTACAGAGTTGTTGTTTTTTTTAGCTTGAAATAATCCCATACTTTGGGCACTTTCTTCTTTGTCCCTCGCTATTTTCTCGGTCTTCCTCCACTTTGCAAATAGCTCCATTATAATCACGTTGTGTTCACAGCGTAAGCGTGATGTGCGGCAGTAATAAATGCCCGTGCGAAACACTGTGCTGTATAGTTAAATGGATTCAACGAAGCATCAATGCAAAGAATTTGTGTCGATGCATTTTATTCCTCGATTTTATCAATGAATCGTTTCAGCCCTAATGTACACACACACACACAGACACACACACATAAATATATATACAGTGAGGTTATAGTGATATAGTTTCCATCCAAATGCAGCACAAATTTTCCTCCTCTCAATTCAGCATGAGAATCAAACTCTGTAAACTCCATTTCCCCAATCATAAGACTGTGCGCTCAGTGTTTCCCCCTAGGATGGAGTTGTAGCAGCGGAGGTGAAGCAAAATTTTTGGCTGAATATAAAACCCCAACACAACACGTCTCAGCAGTAGGGCTGACCCCCAATAGTCGAAGATTCGATGGGCTGAGCCTGATCCGACTGTCAATCTCACAGTAGAAGCTTCGCAGCGAAACAAGGATCATGCCATTTTGGCAATTTAGGGGTGCTCAACGTCTGATTTTACATTTTTCCAAATAAGTTAATATACAGCCTATTACAATATACATTTCAATGTTTAATGCTGTAAATAAACATGTAGAAAGAATAAAACTTTCAATAAATGTTTTTAAAGTGCGTAAATAAAATCCAAAATTGTAACCATAACCCTGGATTGTCAGTGCGCATGTGTAAGCGTAGCGTGCGCGTGTCGGAAGAGGAACACTTGCAGAGACGCTGGTGTTGTGCCGAGTTGTCCGCAGCTCGCGGGACTTTCGGAAAATTTATCACCGTTAACCACACAAAGAATATTTTATCGTTTTTGAATAAAAATACACGTAAACTCACATAAGACACAAGACCAGTGAATGACAGGCGAGAGAGAGAAAAGGGACTTGAAAAAGCCTCAGTTTAGCTGGAAATTTACAGCGCAAGTTGAATGAATAGAGACTGCAGCTCCTCAAGAATAAAGCGGCGCTTACCGTGTGTGGGAGGGTTTGGGGGTTTTCCAATGAAAAATATGTAATTTCACATCATATTGGGCCATTATTTTCACCTTATCTCTGAACAAATCTAGCTAGAGCAGATAATAAATAACCCCCCAAAGATCAGTCTACTGGGGAGGAACTACAACCTTAATATCTTGGGAAAGTTATTTGGTTGATTATGATGCTCTCCACAGTCATTTTACATTTCTGACACAGCATGTTTTGGGCATGACCCCCTAAAACCCTGTTAATATGACCTCAGAATCATTACAGATATGATTATGTGTATATGATCATGTTTGTCTTTAATATAAAAAAAAAAAAAAAGGAAACATGAGAAACCTCCTCCCTTCGGAGGTGCATTTTATTTGCACATTAAAATCCAAAAAGAAACATCTCCTCATTAGCTTAAAAAGACCTATACAGATACAAGTTACTTTCTATAAATTGAGCTAATGTTAAGTTACATAGAGCCAAAAGACACAGTCTACTGTAGAAGCTTTCCTGCTCAGCTGCGCAGTCTGAAGGGGAGGGGAGATGTCTGCTAGCGCTAACAGGCTTCACTTTCCCGCAGTTGGGGAAACAATAGACAGACTTTTCTTGGTCTTGAGAAGCTGACACATCGTAACAGAGACAGTACATTTACTGCCAGAATATTTTCCTCCGCTTGCGTTCACCGTCACTTTCTGCCGCTCGGACAAACAAACACTCGCTACGTACCTCCCGATCCCTTACAGGAGTTACGCTGCTCTTATAACAGCATCTGTCACGTAGATGTTTTGTATAGAACGATTAGAGGAAGCTAGCCAAGCATTGAGTGTTGCCGTGCTCACACAGTGTGCGATTAAAAACATTTATAGCACAGTTTAATGATCGTGAGAAATTTTTGTAGCGGGCGGTCATGATTCAGCAGCGGCGCACCGCCGTTCCTGAATGCATATAGGGGAAACACTGGCGCTGGTCAGTATCCTAATCCAACTACCCCAATCAAAGGACTGTAAATTCTTTTGATGCACAAACAGCACCAAAATCTCATTATGCCAACTGCTGACCGGGTACACTTGGACTGTGAAAGAACTCAACTCTGCCTCTACAAGTGTTTTTCACATTAACCAGAAGAAACATATTCACAATTTGCACATATTTACCATACCAAACATAACATATTTTCTTTCGTTCTTAAATTCTTGCAGCCTGGGACTCAAAATAGGAAATGTTTACTTGACTGTAGAGCAAAAGCTTATGAAAACAGTGCTTTTGTTATGTTGGGCAGCAAAAGTCACTAAGTTTAACTTCTAGCTTCTAGGTCCTTGCTTATGTGGCAAACTTGCTCTGCAAGTCATTGTCCACTATCCTCTTGACAGCTGAAGTGATTATTTATTTAGCAACACTCACCTGAAGCTGCCATAGACGATGAGAAGGATGGAGATGAGGAAGGTGGACACCTGGCTGGAGTCAACTAGGGAGTACGCCCTAAAAAGAAGAAAGAGGAATACAAACGTGAGACTCAACTAAAACATCTATGTGATGAAACTATTGAAAAATATTGCATGGCATCTTTTGTGTAATACTGAAAACAAGTATAGTTTCCATAACAACTGTCTTCACACTAACATTTCATTGGTTAACTAACAATTTGTATTCTTTACTTTTCTACTACACACAAGTTTTCTGTTTCATAAACATCACATTCACAGCAGGAAAGTACATCAGCCTTAAAATCCACAAGTGACTTTATGAAAACTCTGCCTTAAAGACCTTGTTAATCTGATGCTTCCTCCTTTTGTTGTACTTAACTGGATTTGTTTAACATTGCAAGTAGCACCAAAGCCAGTTGGCCAACTGTGACTTGCCATTTTCCCTCCAAAAACCCCAAAGGTTTGATATTTGACCACACTGCTGATTTATTACAAGCTGAGGTGAGTGAAAACACATGTATTGTTTGAGGTCAAACCCCATCTGATATGCTATGGCTTCCTTTTAATCCGTCATGTCAATTGCATGTTTCTCTCAACGTATGATTTAATGTTTGAAAAGACTCACTGATCATTTTTGTCTCTCAGCCATTTCACCCTGAATGATGCTTTTCCAAGGGTGATAGTAAAGGTTTTAACCAAAGGACATACTACTTTAGTTAAATATTATAGAATGCCGTTATGTGACCATCTGCCTACACACTGACTACCATTGGATTTGTTTATCATTGTGCTAAATTGTGCAAGTATTACTATCTCTTGGAATAAAGGTGGGTTTCCTATCAGAGTCTACTTTATAATCAATTCAGATGTACAACCCATCTGTTTTAAATCAGACTAAATCATAGTTGCACAGTTCTCGCCATATTTTCTTTATACCACCATGCTGTGGGAAATAAGAAAAGTATGCCAACTGCAATTTCAGTCAATCATTTCAGATGCTGCAATTTGACAATCTCACACTGCTTGTAGCAATTTTATCAGCACCACTTTGAATATCTGCAGGCACACAGGTCACATTTCCTCCTCCAAATACAGCAGGCAAAGATACCATACCAAATCAAAAATTAATATGTGGGGTGGATCAGATTTTATATCAGGAATTAAGATTAAGAACTATAGTATGTACTGTACTAAAATGCTGTAATTTAAGAATGCTTTCAAAAATGGATGTGTTTCTAGACTATACCTATCAATTACCAAAATGCAAAGTAAGTGAACAGAAAATAAATCTAAATCAAATCAATATGTGGTGTGACCACCCTTTGGCTTCAAAACAGCATAAATTTTTCTAGGTACACTTGCACAAAGTCAGGGATTTTGTAGGAATATCGTCAGGTGTATGATTGGTGCAGTTGATCACCAATTCAATATGTAGGTTTAAACACAAACTGAAACAGAAAGAGCTGTATAGCAGGAATACTACAAGGTGAGGAACAGCCAAACTCAGCTAACACCCATCTACTACATCTACTAGAAGTGGCATTCATGGAAGATTTGCGGCCAAAAAGCCACACCTCTGACATGCAAACAAGGTGTATCAACGTATCAACAGTGCAGTGGACAAACAGACTCTGCTGACACACGACGCACACAGCAACAGAACAAAGTGTGGCGTATTTTACAAGAGCTGCAACACTGAGAGCTTCAGTTTACACGCTGTTAGCAAGTCGGAGAGACAAACCAAAGCTAAAAGTTAACTCACCCTGCGTTCACTGTAAGGTTATTTTCTTCATTCAAGTTTCCCTTAGCACTCTCATTAAAATTAAAATACGACCGTACTTCAGAGTGACTGAAAAATCTCCGGCGTCATTGACCCAAACAAACCCACATTGCATTCTGCGCATGCGCGCCTGCTTCTGGGAGATGCTGGACAGTGTTTGCCGTGAGATTATAACAGCACCGTTAACCGTACCCGGTTATCATGGTAATTGAAATGCGTACGGTAATAATAACCGTTGGGAACTTTACCATGGTTAACCATTAAACCAGTAATCGTTTCATCCCTACCCCTACACATACAGCAAAAGTCACTAAGAACTATCTTCAGTGTAAAGAAGAACAAGGAGTCCTGGAGAGAAACAACTAAGGCTGCCTAAATCCACCAAAAGAACTGTGGTAGGGTTGTCTGCAACTAAGGATTTACACAGTAGAATCACATGTGTTTGTGTGGCGGCGATACATGGTAGCTCGCTTTAATCTTGAGAAGCTACAGAGCTGCAGTCTCTATTTATTAATCAGTGTAACTTACGCTGTACATTTACAGCTACACTGAGCCTTATTGTTGACCCTTTTCACTCTGCTCGTCTGCCATTTACCGGTCTTGTGCAGAGTTCTGCCTGCGTGGCTGCTGTACGGCCGACAACAGCATGCACGTACAGTTCCTGTATGTCTAGTTCAAGTACTATTTAAAAACAATATAATATTCTTTATGTGGTTCATCAATGGTGATAAATGATCCAAATGTCCCGCCAAGTGCGGATAACAGGGCACACCACCGGTGAAGTTTGGGCTCCGTCTCTTCATCCACTACACACATACCGACACATCCACCCAGCCAATACACACATACCCACCCACCCAATGTATATTGTAATGTGTATATGAAATAACTGGGAGAGAACTGGTAGTTCTATATAAAATCAGACGTTGAGCATCCCCATATCTCCAAAATGGCATTATTCTCATACCGCCTCTGCGAAGCTTCGACAGTGAGATTGGCATGTTTGGGCCAACCTACCTGCAGAGTTCTTCCAAAAACCATGTAGGTGTACCTAGGTGTACATAGAAGAACTGATGCCGCTTAGAAGGCAAAGGGTCAAACTAAATATTGATTTGCTTGCATTTTGTTAATTGATAAATATAATCTATTCATTTCCATTTTTGAAAACATTCTTACTTAACAGCATTTTTCCACACCTTCCTAAAACTTGCACAATATGGTGTATATGCGGTACATCCATTTTATACACTGGCCAACTGACCTGTGCATTCTGTATTTAAGTGGGACTGGGTATTCCCAGAATACTATTCACTGCAGTCAAACTTTGTTATGTTTGACTACAGTGAATGTTGTGTTGTCACAATTAAAATTATTTGAAATCCTTTTCAGCGACCATCTAAGAGAACAATGTGAAAACATTTCCAGTCGGCACACAACATACTGCACGCCACAAGAACATGCTGCTGTTTTGCACAGAGCTGAATATAATCTGATCCCCTGAGATCAATGAGGCTCATAATTACACACAAGAAAACAGCAAAGAAAGGACAGTGAAACAATTCAGCAGTAAAAATCCGAACTGCAAATTTTGTTGCATTTAAAAAAAAATAACTGGGGAACAACACACAATTTATTATGAAAATCAATAAGGCAAATGTCATCCAGCCTAGACTGGAAGGTGGTCTCTGCTCACAACAATGGTGTGGTTTTCTACATTTTGATTACGCCTACTGATTTAGGAGCATATGACCCATAGTTTGAAAAATAAGAATCAAATAGCTTCATGTAACTTTGTGGAAAGTATTTCTAACTATACTGTTCTATGTTTCATTTTGTGTTCCATCTGTCTTTTGTACAGTCCCATAAGTTTTTAAAGCCGCTTTATAAAGCTTAACTACTTGCTCACAATTAATACTAGTTATTATAAAGATAATAGTGTATATAAAATGTATGTATTTGTTGTGTGATACAACATCCTTAAGGCAATTTATGAAGAATACTGCTGAATCACAACACAAATATATTCATGCATTACAGTCCTGCAAGAAGAGCTGTCTTTTCTATACTATCTAGTATAGCAAACTAGGGCTGAAACGATTCATCCTTTAATAAAATAAAATGTGATTAAACGAAGCATCGACGCAAATTCTTTCCATAAAACTATCCTACACACTGTTTCGCACGAACATTTATTGCTGACGCACATCACGCTTACGCTGTGAACACGACGTGACAGGGCACTACACTAACCTTTTTCCCCCGTAAGAGCACATGTAAAGATGTGCTCCAAAGAAATTCAGGAGCACAGTGAAAAATGTTCAAGTATTCCACTGCAGAGGCTCTTTCTACAACATGGAGGAGAAACTAGTTTTAATGAGTGTATTAGTGTAATTTAACATTAGATAAAAAGTTATATTTTAATCTAATAGTTTACTGTTGGAATGTTAATATATAAATTATTTAATTTTGCTATATGTAGGCTATTGTCATTTTATGTAATAGTATACTATATAGCCCACCACTAGTATAATATTAACTCCAATTGGACAAAACAGCAGTTTCATGTTGTTTTCAATTACATTGGTCTCGTAATTTGTTAATGATACCATCTCATTAATAATCAGAACCATTCCGCAGGAGGAGTTCAACATTTGAAAGTTTACTGTAGCATGTCAAACCATTTTTCATGTCCCACTGCATCCAGTCTGTGATTGGCCAGTTGACGAAAAGTGAAATTGACAAGCACATCGATTTTATGAAACGTTGAACATGTTTCAACAAAAGACACCTAATAAAGCTAAATAGCCAGCTAGCTAAACCCACAACTTCATTCTCTTCTCCTTGCTGTCTTCTGTCTCTCCGCTCCTGCTGCTGACACTGATCTCAGTCTTTGGGTTTTTTTGCCGGAGTTTCAACAACTCTCAAATGACTGACACAAGCTTTGCGACGCGTCCTGCTATCTACTCGGAGCAGGGTGTTTTGAACGATTAGCTGTGCGGTACGGCAGGCGCCAAAGTAAGCCGCACCACCAAACAAAAGTACTTCTTAAACGACGCATTGATGAATCGTTGAAATAATCTATACTAAAATCATCGTTAGCTGCAGCCCTATAGCAAACAAACATGACATTACAAAATACAGCTCATCAATCTGGACTTTCTGCTATCTGTAGTAGGGTTGGGCGATCTTTTCTATTTTCATATCACCTAATCATGGCTACTTGAGAAAACCCCCGATTGAAACAAGTGGTTGTAGGATTACACATCTGACTAATC